TTCTTAAAAAGTCCATGTTCTTAAAAATGAGTGTTAAACTTTCAAAAAATAGTATTAGTTTATTACTAAAATTCCATGGTAGTGAAATATTGAATGTTAAAACACGTTCCTAAGAATCCAGATTTTGTGGTATTGCTGTTCCCTGAACATCTTTTTAAATCCACGTATTTTTATACAATCAGCCATATGGCTACAGAGGGTATAAGAATCCGATTGTCTTAAAATTTCACACATCCCAATACTTTTATACACCCAGGATCTGGTGTTAAGAGGGAATACATTGGTCTATTCCTTCTGGTATCTCCCCCACAAAAGGTCGAAATTTTGAATAACCTTTAAGCGAAATTAACATCCGATTCCATTTAGACTTGACACATCTGAATATTTCTATTAACACAGGATCTGTTACAAAAACGGTAGAGATCGGACGATTCCTTCTGGTACCTCCCCCACAAAGGGTCAAAGTTTTGAATAATTATAACTTTTATAAAATATTATGCAAGTGTCCGATTGTCTTAAAATTACACACATCACAATTATTTTTTATAACCCACGGCCTGGCGTGAAAATGAAATATATAGGTCGACTCCCTCACAAAGGGTCAAAATTTTGAATATCCATGAAGGTCATATAATGCGAAATTAACATCCGATTCAATTCAAACTTGGCACATCTCAATATTTCCATCAACACAAGATCTGTTATAAAGTTGATAGAGATCGGAGCATTTCTTTTCGTACACCCACAAAGGGTCAATTTCTGTTGCTACCTGCCCCACATAGGCACAACAGAAGTCGAAATATTTTTAAGTAATTGTACAGGGTTGCCCATATTCGATGGACGTTTGGGCCCTTTGGGCCCATTCCAATCGACGAGGCTTGTCCGCAGGCAACATTCTTTGCGTCAATTGAATTTTGTACGGGAACAAATGCAAATCAATGCGAATAATCCGTTGTAAAGTGGACCGAGCCATGCCCAACTGCTGAGAACGGCGTTTTTGGGATGTTCTTGGGGACCTCTCAACACTGGCTCGTACGGCAGCGATATTCTCTGCCGATCGCCTTGGTCGACTTTTATATGGTCTCTTCGGATTAGAAAGAGCCTTACCAGTCGAAAAATTTTCGTATAAACGCTTAATGGTGTTCTTAGAAAGCGCACTTCTCACATTTTTTTTTACAATTGACTTCTTCTGTTGAATGTAAATTTCAACTATTTCAGAGCGCTCGAGTGGCGTGTATTGGTTCATGGTAAAAATCTGCTTGGACTGACGCTTCAAATGCGGTATGTCATTAAGCGATGTGACATGTCTGTCTGGGTATACATCTGTCGGCAAAATCGACAGATAATTTTTAACTTTTTAAAATTTAGTTTTGATGGGTTTGTTAAATATTTAACAAGTAGTCTATATCGATATTGGGGATCTATATAGACAATACTCTTCCAGGGGTGAAGTACTCAGAAGGTACTCCTTTTATGGATTTCCAGACAATTTCATTGAAAAAGTTGACTACAATCATCAAAATACCGAATAGCGTGAGATATAGTTATATGGGGGCTATACGATATCGGTGACCGATATAGCTCATCTTCGAATTTGATCTGCCTGCACACTAAAGATTAATCTTTCCAAATTTTAGCTTTTTTAGACGGACGGACAGAGAGGTTTAAATCATCTTTGCGCTGATCAAGAATATTCAATGTGAGATGAAAAAACTGCAACCAACTTCAGACTGCTGTTATTTCTAATCCACTTCTCCGACAGCTGTTAAAATTATTCCAGTGACAGCTCATTATATTGCTTACATGTGTACCAAAGCATTTTGGTGACAATTTTCCAGAAAAAAAGATATTCGTGCTGGAATTCAAGCGTGATAGTGTGATTTCTTTATATTTGACTGGAAAACCACAAGTGGCTATTTTTAGAGCACTCCAGCATTAAAAAAAGAATATGTCTTTTGTGTCTCGTACCATCGCTCGTTACCGTGATACTCGTAGCATAGCCCGACGTCAAGTAAGTGGACGGAAGCAAACAGCAACATCAGCAGAAATGGTTCGAAAGGTAAAGAAACGACTTGATCGAAACCTGCGTCGCAGTGACCGAAAAATGGCTCGTGAGCTGAACATATCGCAATATTCCATTCGACAAATATTGAAAAATGAGCTCGGGGTAAAACCATTGAAATTCCAAAAAGTGCAAGAACTTACACTGCAACAGAAAGAAAATAGACTCAAGAGTTGCTTCGCTTGGCCGAAAGTGGTGAACTGCCGAATTTGGTTTTCTCCGATCTCCGATGAGAAAACGTTCGTTGTCCAGCAGTGTGTAAACAAACAAAATGATCGTGATGTTAGCTGAAATGTGCTCCTTCGGTTGGCCACCAGAACTCAAGGGCCGGCCATGTTGATGGTGTGGGCCGCTATAACAGCCGATGGTCGCTCCCCGCTCGTATTAAGCGACCGTGGCATCAGAATAAATGTCGAATATTTTCGCGAGGGTTTATTTAAGCCTTGGGCACTCAAACATTTTGGCCGCAGACCTTGGACATTCCAACAGGATTCATCACCATCGCACTCAGCACGCACCACCCAAGAATGGTTATAAAATGAGGTTCCTCGCTTCAGTGTTAGCGCACAATGGCCACCAAAAAACCCTGGGTACCAATCCGTTGGACTATTGTGTCTGGAGTATTTTGGAAAGCAAGGTTGGCGCTAAAAAATACTAAAGTGTCGATCACCTCAAGCAAGCGATTCGCCGGGAATGGGCCAAAATACCGCAGAGGAGCATTCGGGCAGCGTGTGACGGTTTCATTGGCCGTTTGAAGGCCATAATTCGAGCCAAAGGTGACAAATTAGAAGAAATCTAAACTTCTTCTGAAATTTAATGCCATTCCCTACATTTTTTTGCTTGAATTCAATAAAATTAAAAAAAAATGTAAAAATTATGGTGTTTGACTTTGCTGTAGTTTTTTTATCTCACCCTGTATCACCCTTTCCCTTTACCTAATACCAAATTTTGTTCCACTTAATACTTTTCGTACAAATATAGGACGCATACCCAAACCACCGCCAAATCTGAGAATACAGATTCTATTAGTAATCGAAATTTCAAATTTCAGAATTTTATCTCTATCTCTTCACCCAATAACAAATATAGTACCATTTAGTACTTTTTGTGCAATTATAGTGCACAATTTCGAAACCCCCTTCAGGCAATACATTAACAGTGACCCCAGTACATTATGTATGTTGAAAGTTATAATAAATGTCTTAAATTATATCAACTCCCTAGAAATATAACTTATAAAATATAAAATATTATAAAATAATAACAATTATTTAAATTCCCTAAAAAAAATTAAAAAAAAATAACAGACAATAATTGAAATGTGGATTGGTGGCTTTTCTAAAAAAATTGAAAATAAAAAAAAATGATTTTCGGCTTTATAAGTCCTTGGAAAAAAATCAGAAAAATCACTTAAAAAATCGACTGACCAAATTTGAATTTGGAGTTGTCATTAAAACAAATCACAATTTAAAATATTCAAAATGTCAATGTAATAATTCGTCTTCATATGGACAAAATCTTGTCTTTGGTATTGTAATCAATAAAAATTAGTGACAGCTACTACAGACTGTGGCAAGCAAAAACGTTGCAATTAAGAATAAATTGAACAAGTTAAAAAGTAGTAAGTTCGGCCGGGCCGAACTTTGAATATCCTCCACCATTTGGAACGAATTTGGAAATTTTCAGAAAATAAAATCATTAAAACATTCTGTTAAAATTTTAAAAATACCAAATATAGCCGTTATATTGAGGTGTATACGATGTGGGCCTACATAGGCATTGTTTGTCATAAGCCATTACCATATTCAAATTCGAAACTTGAAATAAACGGTGAATAATGTTGCTAAAATCATCAAAATATCGTATATAGGGAGGTACCGTTATATCGAAGCTGTGCGAAGACCTGGACCAGCATATATAATTTTCTGTCACAGGCTGTAGCATCCATTACGAACTTCAAATACCACACCTCAAACAATTTCGGTGGGTATTGTACCTAAAATCGTCAAAATACCGAATATAGGGATGTACTGATATATGGGGCCTATACGAAGACCTGAACCAGCATAGACAATTTTCTGTCTCAGGGTGCAGTATCCAATTCGAACTTCAAATACCAAATTTGAAAAAATTCCGGTGTATAATGTCGCTAAAATCATCAAAATACCGAATATAGGGGGGAACCGTTATATGGGGGCTATACGAAGACGTGGACCTGCACAGACAATTTTCTGTCTTAGGGTGTAGTATCCAATTCGAACTTCAAATACCAAATTTGAAACAATTCCGGTGAATAATGTCGCTAAAATCGTTAAAATACCGAATATCGGGAGGTACCGTTATATGGGGGCTATATGAAAACGTGGACCTACATGACCCATTTACGAACTTAACCTGCCTACTGGAAAACTAAACATGTGTGCAAAATTTTAGCCATCTATCTCAATTCATTCGAAAGATAGCGTGATTACAACAGACAGACGGACAGACAGACGGACAGACAGACGGACAGACGGACAGACAGACAGACAGACAGGCGGACATGGCTAAATCGTCTTAGAATTTTACGCTGATCAAGAATATATATACTTTGTTGGGTCTGACATGAATATTTCGAGGAGTTACAAACGGAATGACAAAATTAATATACCCTCCATAGTATGGTGGAGGGTATAAAAATCAGTTATGATTGTTTATCGCTGATTTTTACAAGAGTTTACATAATTTCGGGTATTAAAATTCTTTTAAATGTCATAACATTGAAACACTTCTTTCATTTTCACTCAACAATTTATTCCCACGTTTGGGTTTTTTTTCACAGTTATTAACAAATTGTAATTTATGTTTTAAATATTATTCTGCATCGTTTTTCTTTTGATTTAATAATCCATCTCTCTCTCTCTCTCTTCTCTGTTTCTCAATGTGTTTTTTATTGCAGATTGTCCACACTGTGTAGACGACACGCAATACATGAACAAATGGACAATGCCGCTGTTGAAACTTGGCGAAAAGCGTTATTATCTTGGCATCTTCTTCAAGGTAAGTGACATTCCATGCAGCAGCGTTGCCTGCCGTAGCGTAAGCGTAACCAAGCTCAGCTCGCCAGCCAGCCAGCTACTTGACAAGTCCATTTCGACCGTCTTCTGCTCTATTCATGGAACTTGTCTTGTGTAGCTGGGTTGGTTGGTAGGTTGCTGGGCTGGCAGATACCTCACATTTACATTAATTGATGATGGGTTAGTTGGCTGGCTGGTTGGTTGGCTGGATAGATGGATGACCGGTTGCCTAGGTGAGACCGGCCAAATGAGTGTTATTTCGTTGTAGCAGTAGAGGTTGAAATATTCAAACGGGTGTTTTGATTTGAATTGCTTTGCTTTGCCATTAAAATTCAATAAATCAATGATTGAAAGACAATTGTTAATGGAGGGAGATTCTATAAAGTGTGTTTAACTTTTTAACTTTTTTCCATGGAAATGCGTTCGACAAGTCAATGGCATAGAATGCCGTCTATGTGAGCATCCAATATTCAAAGAACAAGAATCCATTTTAAATATTTTAATCATAAATACTTGTCCAATTTAATTTTCAAAATATGGTCATATTGTTTTCAAGACAAGCACACATTTAATTAATTATTTATATAAAACAAATGCGATATGAAGGCAGGTGTTTCCATAAATATACAAGTGTAGTGTATATATATAAATCTACTTATTGAAGCAATGTTCCATAAAATTAAAATATTAAATCGGAAAAATATTTTTGAAAACTAAATTTGGAGTAACATTTTAAAAATACACAATTGGGACATCTGCATTTGGCAAAATATTTTCAAAAATTCGCGTATGGGAAAATATTTTAAAGATTATTTTAAAATAAAGATTATTATATTACGCGAATTTTTGAAAATATTTTGCTAAATGCAAATGTCCCAATTATGTATTTTTAAAATGTTACTCCAAATTTAGTTTTCAAAAATATTTTTCCTATTTAACATTTTAATTTTATGGAATATTGCCTCAATAAGTAGATTTATATATACACTACACTTGTACATTTATGGAAACACCTGCCTTCATATCGCATTTGTTTTATATAAATAATTAATTAAATGTGTGCTTGTCTTGAAAAAAAAATATTTTTGAAAACTAAGTTTGGAGTAACATTTTAAAAATACACAATTGGGACATCTGCATTTGGCAAAATATTTTCAAAAATTCGCGTATGGGAAAATATTTTCAAATAATCCACTTTTTTAATTTATTCGGCCTTTTTGTTTCTAATACTGAATACGTTTTTTGTCCTCGAGCTTGAAAACCTTATTTAATATTACAATCAACAATATTTTCAAAAATCCACTTCAGAAAAAAATAGTAAAAATTTTTGAAAAAAAGATAATTGCAAATATCCACACTTGCAAAAGTATTTTCAATAATCTGCGTATGAAAAAAATATTTTCAAAAATCCGCGGTTGGAAAAATATTTTTTTTAATTATCGACGTTTATAAACGTTTTCTAAAAATATTTTTTAAATTGTTTTAAAAAATTGTTTCAAAAATATTTTTTTTAAATTTACATTTAAAAACATATTTTTTAAACGATTTTCGAAAACCCAGGTTTTTTAAAAATATTTTCAAAAATAAAAAATCACATTTGTAAAAATATATAACTTGATAGGAATTATTTTAAACAGGTAAAAAAGCAGTAACTTTGCATATCCTCCACCATTTGAAACAAATTTGGAAATTTTCTAAAAAAATAAAATCCTTGAATCCCTCAGTTAAAGTATTAAAAATACCGCATATAGCCGTTATATTGTGGTCTATACGAAGACGTGGACCTGCATAGGCAAGTTTTCTCATAAGCCATTAATATATTCAAATAAGAAACTTGGAAAAAACAAAATCCGGTGAAATACCGAATATAAGGAGGTACTGATATATGGGGGCAATACGAAGGCCTACACCTGCATAGACAGTTTTTTGTCATATTTTCTGTCATTGAAGTTCCAATTTCGAACCCTAAATACGAAATTTGAAACACCTCCGGTGAATAATGTTAAAATCATCAAAATACCGAGTATTTGGAGGTACCGTTATATCGGGGATATACGAAGAAGTGGACCTGCATAGACAATTTTCTGTCACAGGCTATTTGGAAGTACTTATCAGGAACATCGAATACGAGATTGTAAATAATTTCGGTGTATATTGTAGGTAAAATCGTTAAAATACCGAATGTAGGGAGGTACTGATATATGGGCCTGCATGGACAATTTTCTGTCATAGACTGTAGTTCCCATTTCGAACCCTAAATACTAAATATCCAATATCGGGGGGTACCGTTATATGGAGGCTATACGAAGACGTCAGCCTGTATACGCAATTTTTAGTCAACTCCGGTGAATAATGTTCCTAAAATCGTCAAAATATCTGTTCCAGAGAGTAAAGTGCTCAGAAAGAACTCCTAGTATGGATTTTTAGATAATTTCATTGAAAAATGTAGCCAAAATCATCAAAATACTGAAAATAAGGAGGTACCGTTATATGGGTGATATACGATATCTTGAACCTATACAGACAATACTCTAACAGAGGGTCAAGTATTCAGAAAAAAACTCATTTTGTAGATTTTCAGACAACTTCATTGAAAAATTTGGCCACAATCATCAAAATTTCGAATAATGGGACGGTTATATGGGGGCTATACGATGTCGTGGACTTCGAACTTAACTTGCCTGCAGACAAAAGACTGATATGTGCAAAATGTTATCTTCCTGTCTTTATTGGTTTTGAATCTAACGTGATTACAATATGAATATGGACATAGCTAAATCGTCTTAGAATTTTATGCTGATCAAGAATATATATACTTTATGTCTAAAATAGTTATTTCGATAAGTTACTAACGGAATGACGAACGAGGGTATACAAAAATAAACAAGTAAAAAAACAGCTAAGTTCGGCTGGACTGAACTTTTAATAGCCTCCACCATTTGGAAGGAACTTAAATTTTTTCAAAAAAAAAAAAAAAAAAAAAGTAAAAAAGCAGTAAGTTCGGCCGGGCCAAACTTTGAATACCCATTTGGAATGAAATAGAAAATTTTCAAAAAAATAAAACCCATTAAAAATTCTGTTAAAATCTTTTAAATATCTAATATCGGAACGTGCCAATATATGGGGGGGATATACGACATTGCGGACCTATATAGACAATTACCTTTCAGGGGTTAAAGTGCTCACAAAGAACTCCTTGTGTGGATTTTCAGACAATACCATAGGAAAATAAGGCTAAAATCATCAAAATACCGAATATCGGGGGTACCGTTATATGGGGGATAAACGATATCGTTAACCTATATATGTCAGGGGGTAAACTGCTCACAAAGAATCTCTTGTGTACAATTTCAGACAATTCCGTTGAAAAATGTAACTAAAATCATCAAAATACCGAATATCGGGGGTACCGTTATATGGGGGATATACGATATTGTGGACCTATATACATAATTATCTTCCAAGGGATAATTTACCCACAAGGAACTCCTTGTGTGGATTATCAGACAATTCCGTTGAAAAATGTGGCTAAAATCATCAAAATACCGAATATCGGGGGGTACCGTTATATGGGGGCTATACGATATCGTGGACCGATATAGCCCATTTTCGAACTTGACCTGCCTGCAGACAAAAGAGGGATTTTAGCTTCCTATCTTAATTCGTTTAGACTGTAGCGTGATTACAACAGACGGACGGACATGGCTTTGTTGGGTCTAAAATGATTATTTCGATGAGTTACAAACGGAATGACGAACTTAATATACCCTCCATGCTATGTATGGTGGAGGGTATAAAAAAATCCGAAAATTACCACTTAAATGAAAACCGTTGTATGAGGTCTATACGAAGACGTGGCCTAGTTATGAAATTTTTTGTCATAGGCTGTAGTACCTATTACGAACTTCAAATACGAAATTTGAAATAATTCCTGTAAATAGTGACGCTAAAATCATGAAAATACCGAATATCGGGAGGTACCGTTATATGAGGGCTCTACGAAAACGTGAACCGCCATGGCTCATTTACGAACTTAACCTGCCAACTGCTAAACTATGCATGATCGTCTTAGAATTTTACGCTGATCCAGAATATATACACTTTGTAGGGTCTATTATGAATATTTCGAGGAGTTACAAAAGGAATGAATATACCCTCCGGAGAATTGTTGAGGGTATAAAAATATCAAATTTTTAAAAACTCAACTCTTCTTTGGATCAGATGAGTTTTAACAAAATATTCATAAAACTTCACATTTGATGACTCTACTGCTCCTGAATAAATATTCTCTAAAAGTCCTCGTTTGGTGGCTCGGTTTACCCTTGAAAAATATTCCCAAAAGTCCAGATTTAATGGTCCGTTTGGTAATGATTTTTAAACACAATTTAATTGGATATACAGGTCCTTGAAAAAATATTTAATATTATAATTTTATAGTATTTTGTTGTTGCAAAATATTCAGACTTAATCCCATTATTGTTGTTTTTATAAAAACAACGTTGGTTTATTTGTGGAGAACGATGGTAATGTTTACCAGGGGGTAAGGCAGGGAATACCTAGGTTTGGGAAAGGCTCACCGATCCTCATTTGTTCCCTTGTTTTTTGTCTGGAATATTCTCCCCAGGAGTTATTTTAAAAATAACTCCTATATCAAAAAAACCTTTTTTACCCAAGTGACGAGATCGTAGGCTCAATAGAAGAAGAACCAAAGAGTTACATAAAACTAAAATTCTTTTGAAAAATCTTCTAGTTATTAAATATTCATTAATAGGACACGATTTGCGGTGCAGTCACTGAATAATATTCTCAAAAATCCAGTTGATAATTTATAAAATATTTTTCAAAATCCCACAGTTGTTCTCAAATGCCTCTGACATTGGCTCGAAGTCACGTGGTCTGCCATGAAGACTATTGGTTTTCCCATTCCTTGCATTTTTTGTAAATTCCAATTGACTTCAATGAAGAAAAAAGTCACAAATTCTT